CCGCACCTCATGACACCAAATCAACATGCACTCTCCGCACCTCATGACACCAAATCAACATGCACTCTCCGCACCTCATGACACCAAATCAACATGCACTCTCCGCACCTCATGACACCAAATCAACATGCACTCTCCGCACCTCATGACACCAAATCAACATGCACTCTCCGCACCTCATGACACCAAATCAACATGCACTCTCCGCACCTCATGACACCAAATCAACATGCACTCTCCGCACCTCATGACACCAAATCAACATGCACTCTCCGCATCATGACACCAAATCAACATGCACTCTCCGCGCCTCATGACACCAAATCAACATGCACTCTTCGCACCTCATGACACCAAATCAACATGCACTCTCCGCTCCTCATGACACCAAATCAACATGCACTCTCCGCTCCTCATGACACCAAATCAACATGCACTCTCCGCACCTCATGACACCAAATCAACATGCACTCTCCGCACCTCATGACACCAAATCAACATGCACTCTCCGCACCTCATGACTCCAAATCAACATGCACTCTCCGTACCTCATGACACCAAATCAACATGCACTCTCCGCACCTTATGACACTAAATCAACATGCACTCTCCGCACCTCATGACACCACACCAGCACTTCATGTCAACTATCGACAGGGGTTCCTTTGTTTTAAGGTGGGATTCCTCGACAAAGAAGCTTTCTTTTCTTTGGGATAAAAAAAAGGAAGAGGTAAAGAAGAGGAAGGCGGTGATTTGTTTGGTTGTTTGTCTGTTTGTTTTGTTTGTTTGTTTGTTTTTTTGTTGCATGGTGAAGTGTTTGTTCTCGTTCGTGCGTTTGTTGTTGTTGTTGTTTTTTGTCATGGAGAGTGTGTTGTTGTTTTTTGTCATGGAGAGTGTGTTGTTGTTTTTTGTCATGGAGAGTGTGTTCTTGTTTTTTTTTTTGTTAGTTTGTTGTTTGTTTTCATTTCCTGATGAATGCTGTTTTCCTGTTTATTTGTTCCTTATTTGATAAAGATATATATTTTTAAATGGATGAGTGTAGTCTTATTTGTCTGTGCACTTTTTGTAGTTGTTTGCCTTGTTTGTTTGTCATAGTGTGTTTTTGTTTGTGGATATGAATGCAATTTGATAATGTTGTTTATATGTAAGATAATAGTGAATTTCTTATTCACTGTGTCTGTGTGTTTGTTTTTGTACTTTTGTTAACTTCGTTTCTTTGTTCGTTTATTGTGTGTCCTTGTGACTGTTTGCAGAAAAAAAAGTTTGTGGAATATCCTAAAATCTGGAATCAGTGAACATGACACAATCTGGAATCTGGAATCTTGTGATGTAACGAAATATGAAATCTTGGAATATAACAAAAATACCCTAAAATCCGGAATCGTGGAATGTGACGTAATGTGAAATCCTGGAATATGACAAAATCAGGAAACACATAATGCCCTGAAATCTAGAATCATGAGATGTGACGAAATAGGAAAGCTTGGAATATGACAAAATCTGAAACCTAAAATATCCTAAAATCCGGAATCCTGGAATATGATGATGAGAAAAAATAATGATAATCGTGACATATGAGGAAATCTGTGAAAATGAAAGTGGTTGTCGGACACGCAGGCAGGGGGGAAAAACGTGTCTGTGTAAAGCATTGTTTGTCACGCAATGTCTAATGCTTAATCTAGGGTTATGTCTGTTTGTCTGTCTGTGAGTTTTCTTTTTTTCTTTTTTTTTGGGGGGGGAGGGGGGGGGATTAGTCTGTCTGTTTGAGTGTTTGTCTGTTGTTGTTGTTGTTGTTGGAGTTTGTTCTTTTTTATCCTTTTTTTCTTTCTTATTTGTATTTTTTCCTTTTCCTTTTTCTTTTCTCTTTTCTTTGTGTTCTTTTTCTTTTAGTTATTCTTCATGCTTTACCTGTTTTATTTATTTTTCTTTTCCTTTGTGTATTTTTCTCTTTCTCTCTTTTTCCTTTTTTTATCTTTTCTTTTTTTTTCTTCTCCTCTTCTTCTCTCTCATTATTTTCTCTTCTTCTTCATACTCTTCCTCTGTCTTATCCCCCCCTCCTCTTCTTTCATCCTTCTATCACCTTCACGTTTTTTGCTCTCCCTCTTCTCTCTTTTTTCTCCTTTTCTCTCACTCTTTCTTGTTTTTTTTTTGTTTTTGTTTTTTTTTACTTCTTTGTAGAAGATGCCATTTTCTTTCTCTGAGACGTGTTCCTTTTCGAAGATGTGTTGTTGTTTTTTAGACTATAAGTTTTTGTTCTTGTTCTTCTCCTTCTTCTCTCGTTCTCTTATTTTTCTTATTCTTGTTTTTCATCTACTTCTTGTTCTTTTTCTTTCGGTTGTTTTGTGTTTGTTTTTTTTCTGTTTCGTCTTCTTTTCTTCTTTTTCTCACTTGATATATATATTTCTTTTGTTGAGACACTTTCTTTTCTTCTTTAAAAGGTATTTTCATTTTTAAAATACAATTTTCCTGATTAAAACGTTTTTGTTCTTTTGTTATTTGTTTAAATGTTTTCCTCTTCAATATACGTTATTTTTTCTCGTTTTCTAATTCAAACTATCTTCGATTTCAAATCAAACTTAATGAATAATTTAGATTCCGTGTAATTTAAATCTTTGTGTTGATGTGCATTTGTTTTCTCTAGGTTTACGGGGTTATATAATGGATTAGATTCGGTTCGGTTAGATTTCGTTGGGTTTAGATAATGTAAGAGTAGATCGTATATCAGATGGAAATATGATTCAGTGTAATAAGTTAGATTTAATTATGTTACGTTTAGGTTTCAGGCTAGTAGGGATAGAGTTAGATGAACGAAATATTAGTCATGATATTGACGATGAAAGTTGTGTTAATAAAGGAAATAATAAATGTGATAAGGATAGAGTTAGTAAGAGTAATGCTACCACTAATAACAGTAATGATAGCAATGATGATATTGATTATGGTGATAACAATTATTATTATATCAGCAAGGATTCTAATATAATATAAGTAAAACATTCATAGTAATATTGTTTTTTGGGGAATTAAAGAATGTTTATAAGAGTTCATGATAATGATATTGCAATCTCCAATTAAAGCAAAAATAATAAAGATGACGTAAACGACAAGAAAAAACAACATGAAATGGAAAGGAAAAGGGAAGCTCGAACTTTTAGAGAAAGTAAACAGCAGCATTTACCTGGACCATTAAGTAATTAGACCAGTTTTTTTTTTTTTTTTCTCTTCTCCAGTTCTTTTTTTTCCCATGTTGGATTTCTCTTTTTTTTCTGTTTTTTTTTTCTTTCTTTCCTTTCATTTCACTTTTTTCGTACAAAAAAAAATATTCTAGAGGATTTCTCTCCGGATTTCAATGGATTTGTTTACGCGAACGGCTGCAGTGAATGCGGACCGTTCAAAGGAGCATTTGTTTTGCCTTCGACTTGAATCGAATATGATGGCTTCAATTAACGAGAGTAACCTGATTTACCTTTCGACTCGTTTTCTAGTTGATTTGATTGTGCAAATCTTTAAAAACTTAATGTTATTAATTTGATTCGGTTTGGTTTGATGTTTTATAATTATTATGATCTTTCTTTCTCTCTCACTTTTTTTTTTTATATAAATCGTGGTCAACCGAATCCTTCGTTTAATCTTCTCAGGACAACCACGAGTGACTCACGTTCAGAGAAGTCGGGATTTCCGCTGCTGGGAGCCGGGGTGATGTTGCCCGTGACGTTGGTGTCTTCGGTCTTGTCTTCTCCGCCCGATCCTGAGGAGGTCTGGTTGGTGCCGTCGCCTGTCGAAGGGGGCGGGGTTACGGCATGGGTTACGTCATTAGCTACGGCATGGGTTACGTCATTAACTACGGCATGGGTTACGTCATTAACTAAGGCATGGGTTACGTCATTAACTACGGCAAGGGTTACGTCATTAACTAAGGCATGGGTTACGTCATTAGCTACGGCATGGGTTACGTCATAAACTATGGCAAGGGTTACGTTATAAACTACGACATGGGGCAGTGAGTATTTGTGGGGTCTCTGATTGGCTGGAGAATAGGGAGAAGTGGAGAGGGAGAAAGAGGGAAAACGGAAGGAAAGGCAGAGACAAAAACAGACAAACAGAGAGAGACGGAGACAGAAAAATGCACAAATACAAATGCAGAGACGTTTCCGGGGCTGACTGCAACGACAGAATGCACAAAAATCCAAAAGATTTTTTTTTGTTGCGTAATTCCTGCATTTTAAGTTAAGTTTGATTAGTATCTGCATTAAGTTACCAAACACAGATAGCTAAAAAAAAAAAAGAAAGAAAACAAAGTCAGCTGACTTCACAAACAATCATCCAAGTCTACGTCAGGGAAATTTCCTTTATTTCTGTCTGTGTGAAGTGACATTGATAAAATACACGAAAAAAAACTATATTTTTTCCCGTCACAAGAAATTCGCAAACACCTTATCACTTTGCCGATATATCTCACCTGACGAGTTTGAGCTCAGGCTGGCATTGCTACCTGGCGCTGACGTCACATTCACCGCGGGAAGTGTGTGATTGGTCAGCACAATTGGTGACGTGGCGATAACTTCTGGTTGCTAAAGGATAAATAATATTTATATCGTTATTAGCATTAATAGTGTCCGTTTTATCAACGAAAATGGTATTATTGTATTAAATGTCTTTGATATTATCTTAGTTATCAATGAAATTTAAAGCCATCAATGCAGAAAAATTCAAATTCAAGTTAATTCATTTTTTCTTTGATAAAATGGTAAGTTTAGTGGTAAGACCAAGAAACAAGTTTTGTCCTGCGTGCTATAAAGAGTGATGAGTGTTAGAGTGATGACAGATCTAGCCTTTGTGGTGAATCAGAGAAATTACAAATAATCAGATGTAGTATAGTGCTATGTTATTAGGGCTTAAATTCAGTGTGAAAGCTCGCAGAGGCAAACGCAAATAAATCTGACTTTAAGTGCAGAAATATTGACATAAAGAGTGAAATAGCTAGTGACTTTCAAAGATAAGACCTAACATCACTTTTGTGTATATGAAGAATTGCCAATGACAAAGTGTTTGAATAGAAACTGGTATTTTATATGACAACTTTAAATACTAGTACTTTTAATACCACAAATAGATACTGATATTTTGAATACGAGATTAGCAGTAATACAACAGAGCGATAAAACTTAATAATTATACACAAACAAGAATCAGAACCAAGTATCAACTCACCCTGAACATTAACCTTAACCCTAATACATCAAACACCAACTAAATACTAACATTACAACTAATCCATCAAATCCACGCTTTCATCCAACTACTTCAAACGATGGCTTTAACACCAACACTAGAACACCCTTAACACAGACCTCCGAGGTGAGGGGTGGGTACGTGAAGTTCGTCATGGGCTGAGACGTCGGCGCTGAACCCAACAGCTGAAGTTCGTCCGCTGCCCAGACGCTCGAGTTTAAGCTGGATAGACTCAGCTTGATCTGTGCGCGATAGAGAAGCGGGATGTAAGGAGGGTTTTCCTTTTCAGAGTGTTTGTTTGTGTGTGTGTGTGTGTGAGGCGGGGGATGTGAGTTTGTTTGTGTGTGTGTGTGAGGGGGGGATGTGAGTTTGTGTGTGTGTGTGTGTGAGGCGGGGGATGTGAGTTTGTTTGTGTGTGTGGGCGTGGGTGTTTTTGCGTGTGGGAGTGGGTGTTTTGTGTGTCTGTGTTTAAATAGGTGTCTTTGTGTGTCTGTTTTTTTTGTGGGTGTTTGTGTATCTGTGAGTGGGTGTGCATGTGTGACTGCGGGTGAATGTGTTTATACGTGTGTCTGTGTGTGTGTGGCCACCTAGTCTAACTTTACGCCCATTTCCCCTTCCACAAACTTCCCACTCCACCCACCCACATTATCCATCAATCTTCACACACACCAAACCCTCTTCAAAACCTACACTCATATTCAGAGACACATCGGACACCTTTTACGGTGATTGGCTGACGGGCGCGAGAGACCGGTCCAGCTTTCCGTATCAAGTGTCCCAAGTAACTCTTAACCTCTTTACCAAATACATACCTTAAACGGCTGAATTCTGGAATAGTTTGGAATGCGAACTTCTTGGGTGACCCAGACCTGTTGGTGCTCCAGCAGGTCATCGGGGAAAGTGTACGTGAAGACTTCGAGAGGGGGGCGGCCGGCCTGCTCCATCGTCACTGCAGGAGCGGAAGGATTTTTTAAATGATTTATTGTCTCTCTTTCTCTCTCTCTCCCTCTCTCTCTCTCTCTCTCTCTCTCTCTCTCTCTCTCTCTCTCTCTCTCTCTCTCTCTCTCTCTCTCTCTCTCTGTAAATCAAAAATGAGCGTACTAATTGCCTTGATTGATTATATATGAATAGTCCAAATGCTAATCAAACTATTTTAATGGATAAATATCACGTACTAAAATGTATAATTTGATAATGATGTCATTTTATACGATTATATTGTCATGATTATAATATCAAATCTACTTTTTTTATTAAGTGATACAGTATAATCTGTTTTTTTATTTATTCTTTTTTTTTCTTTACATATTATTTCCTCATTCCATTCTTTCCATTCTCTTCCTGTTCTTCTTTCTCCTCCTTCCTACTCCTCTTCCTTTTAATCCTTCTCTTTCTCACTCTTTCTCCTCCTTCTAAATCCTCTTCCTTTTACTCTCCCTACTTCTTACTCCTCCTCTTCCTCCTCCTCTTCCTCCTCCTCCTCCCCCTTGATTTTACTTCGCCTCCTCCTCTTCCTCCTCCTCCTCCTCCTCCTCCTCCTCCTCGTCCTCCTCCTCCTCCTCCTCCTCCTCCATACTCACCCTCCTAGATTTTACTTCGCCTCCTCCTTACTTACTTCTTCTTACCTTTTCCCTCTTTCTTACTCCTCATTCTCCTCATCCTTTTTACTCCGTTTCCTCTTTACTTCGTTTCCTCCATACTCCTTCTGTTTTCCTTACGCCTCCTTCTTCTTACTCCTCCTCCTCCTTCCTCCTCTTCTTCTTCCTCCTCCTCTTTCTTATTCCTTCCCCTCTTTTTTACTTTTCCTCCTCCTGCCTCCTCTTCTCCTTCCTCCTCCTCTCCCTTATTCCTTCCCCTCTTTCTTACCTCTCTTCCACCTTCCTCCTTCCCATTTTCTCACCCCTCCTCCTTCCACTTCCTCCTACTCCTCCTCCTCCTCCTTCTCCTCCTCTTCCTCCTCCTCCTCTTCCTTATTCCTTCCCCTATTTCTTACCCATCTTCCTTCCTCCTCCTCCTCCTCCTCCTGCTCTTCCTTATTCTTTCCCCTCTTTCTTTCCCCTCCTCCTTCCTCCTCCTCCTCCTCTTCCTCCTCCTCCTTCCTCCTTCCTCCTCCTCCTCCTGCTCTTCCTTATTCTTTCCCCTCCCCCCCCCCCCATCTTACTCACACTTCATGACGAGGTCTTCTGCGGCGGATGACAGATAATAACTGATAACGATCCTGGCATCCTCGAGGGCGGGGAAGCTCTTCTCGAGGTAACTTTCATATTC